AGGGTAAGTCGGGCTCTGGAGACTCTCTTCTGGAGTGTCGGATGTGACAGGCTGCTCCGAGGAAGCTGTGCTCTTGGGAAACCCCTCTATCCCACCCCAGCAGGTTGCCACTTTGAACTCACGATAGCTAATGTGCTTTGCTTTCTGTGGAAGACAGATTTTATCTTTTTCTCCCACTTGATCAACCAGAGAGAGTTTGAAAGTGTTTTCAGTGTCATCCAAATCCTTATTTTCCGGGGAATGGGGGGGGGCAGAAAAGAGAGGTGTGCAGCTGTAAGGTGGGAGCAGTGCTCAAGCCTATCCTCAAGGGCTCCCCCACTTCTAGCCAAAGGATTATGGCACGGCTGCAGGGGAACACCCCAAAACATGCACTGTGGGTGATTAAGCACATAACAGATCCAGAACAGGAAGCAGAGCTAAATGATAACCACTGAGCAGAGTTGAACTGCAAGTCTCTTGCAGGGGGCATCAGAGTGATGTCATGCAGCTGTCTCTCCAGCAGGGGACTGTTACCCACGCTGACAGTCCTCTGTCTGCTTAGACCCAAGTTAATCAATCAACCAGGCAATCAATCAGTAAAGAAGTAGAAGTCTATTCCAGAAAAGTAAAGACAGAGATGAGAAGCTATGCATGGTGGCGCATGCCCATAATCTCAGGCATTAGTGAGGTGGAGGCAGGGGGATTGTGATCAACCTGAACTGTAAAGCGAGTTCCAGGCCAGCTAGGGGAAAAAAGAAGATGAAGAGGAAGGGACGAATGGGGAATGGAGGAAGAGAGAAAGAAGGAAAGAGAGGAGAGAGAGAGAAAGAAGGAAAGAGAGGAGAGAGAGAAAAGACAGGATATGTTATAGTTTGGATATTAAATGTCCTCTTAATGTCCATATTCTAAGGCCTTAATCCCAGTTCATGTGATAAGATGGATAAGATGATAGAACCTTTAGTGCATTGGGCTTAGTGGGAAGAATTTAGGTCACAGTGTTCTCAAAAGGCAGTCGGGGAATTGGGTCCTTCCTGTGTCCTTCTTGGCATCTTGGTCAACATGAAGTGAGTGAAGAGCTCCCCTTACTGCATGAACCCGACACTAGACACTGTGCTGCTAACAGCCCCAAAACAACAAGGACCTGGAGACTGAAGCCTTTGAGGCCTTAAGCTAAAGGAAACCTTTCTGTAAGTGGACTTTCTGTTACAGTGACAGAAATCAGAATAACAGAGGGAGAGAGAAAAAGATGGAATATGTGTGTGTGTGTGTGTGTGTGTGTGTGTGTGAGAGAGAGAGAGAGAGAGAGAGAGAGAGAGAGAGAGAGAGAGGAAAAAGGAGGAGCAAGCAAAATGGAGCAGGTTGGAGGAGGAGGGAATGGCAAGAAGATGGTGACCATATGCAAGGGATCAAGCCCTGTCAGATGCATTCCATTTCTCAGGCTGGAGGTTGTGGTTCCCCCAAAGGACCCTTCTTCCAGAGACTCAGCTCATGGGGGCCCCTAT